TGTAACGGGGTTATGGTGCTGTAGTGAAGTAGGCTGTCACGTGTCGGGACGATGGCGCTAACCCATCGGGACGCTAGCGTGGTACGGGCGAGAGCGCATAGATAATCGGGCACACAATGGCCAGGGAACGGTAGCAATTAATCTTAGGGGACCACCCCCCCATTGTTACTAAGCTCGCTGTCACAGATACCCTTACAATTTTAATTGCTCTACCTATTCTATAGGGTGACGGCTCAGCTTGGAAGCTATGGAGAACGACGCAGACGAATTGGATGAGGTTTCTCAGCCTGCCTCCCCGCAGCAGGAGCTACGAAGCTTCAGCGAACAGATAACGCAGCTAAAGCGCCGACGACAGGAGTTGCGAGAGCTCACTGAACTTCGGCGACTCCAACAAGAAGTCGAAAGCATGGAACGCGGCCTCACAGGGGAGGACTCGTCTGTTAGGGGGTCTACCCCAAGCGCAAACGAAGAACAGCAGGTGTTGGACGACCTAGACAAACGACCGGCGCGACGAAGGCGTTTCGACGACGAGCCACCGGCGGCCACGGGCCGTGGACCCAAGATCGAGAAGATACCTGTGTTTGAAGGAAAGGGTATTCGAGAATACCACGATTTTGAGGCAAGGCTGCAGATTGCTTTCCGTTTGGACCCTTCCGCCTTCAGATTGGAAGACCAAAGGATAGCATTCACGCTTCAGTACCTACAACCTACATTCCGTCAACTTTGGATACAGAGGGAACAGGAGGACGACGGGGAAGCGCTGTCATGGCGCGAGATGATGTCTTTCCTCCTCGACCAGATCAAGAGCCCCGTCAACCGCGAATTGCAGGTGACTATCCTATACCAAAAGTCAATGCAAAAGGAGGGGCAGTCCGTCAACGACTTTGCGGCATACCTATCGACGCTTGAGAACCAGATCAATCCCCCCTATGAACAAAAGCACCTGATAATGCACCTGTATAGCAAACTCCGACCGGAGATTCGAGTAGCTCTCTCCAACTACGCCGAATTCCCCACTACTCGTCGTGAACTAGTCGAGCGGGCAGCTACGTTGGAGGATAATCTTCGTCGCAGCGGCGGTCTGCCTTCGGTACCCCGGCGAAGCAGCACTCCCCGCCATTCAATGAGAGGATCTTCACGAGCTTCCTCCACTGGGTCGCAACGGCGCTACCCATTCGCTTCGCCCGCACCACGCACCTCACAAGTGCCAGACAAGCCCAATATGTGTTTCCACTGCGGAGGGACAGGCCATTGGGCGAGAGATTGCTTTAAGAGAAGGAACGGTTCAGGACCAACGCTTACTACTGGTGCAAACTCGATTCAATCAAAAAATGCGGGCGCCCAACGGAACCCTCCAACCCAAGGGCGATAATTGACATGGAGGTTTGGATCGAAAGCAGGGCGCAGTTACAACGCCAGAAACCCGACGGTTGGACATGGACGACCTTACTCCTTGACTGTGGAGCAGAGATCAACACTATCGACGAGAAGTTCGCAATGCAGAATAACCTAGAGGAGGTTGAAGGCGCAATACTTCCAACAATTCAGCTTCCTGACTCCACGAAGGTTGCTTGTTTCCATGCATACAAGATTACCCTTGAAGCAGAGGATTGTTGGCATGTAACACGACAATTCACCACTACTTTCTACGGTGTCAGGGACGCAGCTCAACCCATTCTGTTAGGCCTCCCAGGGTTGAAGCAAGCACGCATTGTGGTCGACTGCGAAACGAAGCGGTGGAGATACAAGATCGACTCTACAGCGGTCCGAATGGAACAACCGGATCAGTTTGCAGCATCCCTCGAAGGCGAGCCACAGGTGTATGCGGTAATAGTGGGAAGCACTAGTGTAGCGGAAGAAGGAGAGATCACCTTACCAGAGGAATTGCAAGGATACAAGGATGTAGCAAGCAGCGACGCTGCCGACACGCTGCCAGAGCACCACGGTAGCGACCACGCCATCGAGATTGAGGACGGCGCAACGGTGCCATATGGCCCACTGTATAACCTGTCCCCTAAGGAGCTTGAGGTTCTTCGCGACTACATTGCGACGGCGAAGCAACTGGGATGGATCCGCGACAGCACTAGCCCTGCAGGTGCCCCTATCTTATTCGTACCCAAGAAGGATGGCACACTGCGCTTGTGCGTAGATTACCGCGGCCTAAACAAGGTCACAAAGAAGAACCGCCTTGCGTTGCCTCTCATCAGTGAGACCTTGGACCGGCTAAGTGGGGCTGCTGTTTTCACTAAGCTGGACATGAAGAATGCGTACCACCGGATTAGGATCCGGCGTGGCGACGAGTGGAAGACGGCATTCCGCACACGTTATGGCCACTTTGAGTATCTTGTCATGCCTTTTGGCCTCACAAATGCTCCAGCAACATTCCAAGGGTACATCAACCGTGCCTTATCAGGATACCTTGACATCTTCTGTGTAGTATACCTTGACGACGTCCTGGTTTTCTCTCAAAAGGGAGAGAATCACTGGGATCACGTAAGAAAGGTGCTAGACAGATTGCGTCAGTATAGCCTATACGTCAATTTGAAGAAGTGTGCTTTTGCTGTCAAAAGCGTCGAGTTCCTGGGATTTATCGTGCAAACCGACGGTGTAATGATGGACCCTGCCCGCGTAGAGGCAGTGAAGAGTTGGCCAACCCCAGTATCCTTTAAGGATGTGCAGATCTTTCTAGGGTTTGCAAACTTTTACCGACGTTTCATTAGGGGCTTTTCAGTAATTGTAGCTCCAATCACGAGCTTGCTCAAGGGCTCTATAAAGGGCAAGAAGACAGGGCCGTTCGAATGGCCCGAAGACGCAGAGAAGGCGAAGCGACGCCTGTGCGAAACATTTGCGCAAGCACCTGTGCTGAGGCACTTTGATCCACAGTTGCGATCAAGACTAGAGACTGATGCTTCTATACTGGGTATAGCAGGCATATACTCTCAGCTACATGAGGATGGGAACTGGCATCCAGTAGCGTTCTGGTCGCGTAAGTTGACACCAGCGGAGAAGAACTACCATACCTATGATTTGGAGCTTCTTGCCATCGTTGCGGCGATGGAACACTGGCGTCACTACGTCGAAGGACTTTCCACAAGGCTGGAGATCTTAACAGATCACAACAACCTCAGAGGGTTTATGGGGACCCAGAAGCTGTCTAGGAGACAAGCAGGTTGGGCCTTAAAACTGGCCGCTTATGACTTTGAGATCAAGCATAGAGCGGGTAAAACAAACCCTGCAGACGGGCCGTCGAGACGCCCTGTAGGAGACAGCGGTACGCAAGATACCCAAGCAATAGACATGCTGCCGATGCTTCAGAACAAGCTACAGCTGTCCGGAGTCCAGGCTATGCTACCGGACGTGGGGCAGGTCGTGGAGGGCAGCCAGAAAACAGCTCAAGAGCGAGCGGGCACACCCCATCTCACTGAAGATGCTACCAGCAAACGCAAGCAGAACGACTGCGAAGCGAAGAACACAGAGCACTGGGTGCCTGTTTTTAAGAGAACCTCTGAGGCCGCCATTGTAATGAGCCAGAGGGTTACAAGAGCAAAAGCAAGAGAGGCTGCTACAGAACAGAAGGCCTATGATGAGCCGAAACCTTCGCTGACTTTGCTTATACAGAGTGCACAAGAGACAGATCCGTGGGCGACTCGACTGCGGAATCGTAGTGCTCAGCCTGCGAACAGAGAGGAGAGCGCGAGCAAGACACTTGCACAATGGGCATGTGATGCATCAGGCTTACTTCGATTCAGGAACCGGATATACGTTCCCCCAGAACCAGCTCTGAAA